TGATGGTGTCGGTGCTGACGTCACGTAGCTGAACGGGGGCCGTGGCTGTGGCGGGGTCAGGCGTGGGTGTGGGGGGCCCGATTGGGAGGTTCTTGGAGGGGCTCAGCGGCTGGGGGAAGAGCCGGCGAGGAGGGACAGATCCAGACACGGGTGCAGAGTAGAGACCATGTCCACGGCTTCGCTCTAAGTGTGGTCCTGGGACCAACGGCTTCACCCAGGACATCGAATCTCGCCGCGCCCAGGCCTGCCGCGCCAGAGCCAGAGCCGGCTCTCCGGGAGGTTCGGGAAGGATCTTGCCTTCCAGGTGCAGGCAAAACACTCGAAGGGGAGGGTGGTCTGTTGTACGCACACAGGTACATGCACCAGGGCCCCTCTCCTAGCGCCTGTCAGTCACGGGAGGTCAGAGGTCAGGGGAGGACAAATCCTGGCTCCCAGCTCTGACCTTCTGCCGGGGTCCAGCCCCAGCGGTCCAGGGGTTCCCAAAGGTGTGGACGGCGTCGGCGAAGAATGAAGGACACGGAGACGGCGTTCAGATGATCAGCATAGGCAGGTTCTTTTTTATTGTCCTGTTACAGCTGTATTTATACTACTCGATTCTATAAGCATGCCTCTGTAGTTACATCATGGTATGTTTTGGGTCCTCCTTTGACCTTCTACGGTTCCTTGTTTTATGTTTATAGTTTCTTATCTGACCTTTGCTAAAAATCTTATCTCTATCTAGCTCTGTTGATTTTAATCTTATCTATTGTCTATGTTTCTACATTCTATTCTAAAGGTTAGTCTCTGTGTTCCATTATAAGGGCTAGTTTGCTATCTCTATTCCAAGGTCACTATTCTACTGCTCTACTGTTAAGCTATAAGGAAATAACTGAGGGAGATTATCGTATTCTGTGGCCTAAGTAAACTTCTGTCCTTTTAGGCTTGCTGGTGGTCTTCCTTGGGACTGCCCTGTGTTGGCGGATTTTTAGGGGCATAGGCTTTGGTACTTTCTCTGGTGGGTAGAGACCCCTGGGGATGTGGGGCTAGCAAGTCCTAAATTTATTGCTAACAGTGTTAGTTCCTCATAAGTAGTACACGGTATTTCTGTAACACTAGGGGGTTTTACTGATTTATTCCCTTCCCTAGTCCCGATAATCCCTAACTCCAGGGAAACATCCCCACCTGGGGAAACAACCTTTCTCGGGGAGGTGGCCCTGGTTAGAACACATAGTGCTAAGAAGGGGAGCAAACATATTAAGAACAGTATGCCATATACGCCAGGTCCCTTGGAACATATGCTGTGCAGATGTTTCCTCCCTGCAGCGACTGTGTCAAGCAGCAAGGATGGACCGGTTTCCAGCAACCTTCATCCTCACCAGCACTTATGGGCTGTTTGTTTTGTGTGTGTTTTTTTTAATAATATATTTTTATTGATTTCAGAGAGGAAGGGAGAGGGAGAGAGAGGTAGAAGCATCAATGATGAGAGAGAATCACTGATCGGCTGCCTCCTGCACGCCCCCTACGGGGGATCGAGCCCAAAAATCAGGCACGTGCCCTTGACCAGGAATCGAACTATGACCTTCTGGTTTGTAGGTGGACGCTCAACCACTGAACCACGCCGGCCGGGCTCAGCTGTGGTTTTCATAGAAGCCGTGCCGGCGGCCTGCAGTCAGGTCTCATTGTAGCTCCCGGTAGCCCTTCCCTCCTGCCTGTTGACCTTGAACACTCTTGCCTGGCTTGTCAGCCGCGCACATGTCTTCTCTGCCGAAGGTCTGTTTCGATGTCTGGCCGGTTCCGAACGGGCTGGCGGGTTCTGATGGAGGGTAGTGGTGTGTGTGTCCCGGAGGCAGGTCTGTTGGACGTGTGATTTGTGCTGCTTCCTCCCAGCCTGTGCCTTGTGTGTTCGCCGGTCAGGGGTGTCTTTTGAAATGCGAAGGTTTGTAAATCAGTGGGTGCCCAGTTGCTCCATTTCCCCGTGTCCCCCGGCGCCGTTGGTGCTGTACCTGAGGTCTGGGCCTGACGGGCCGTGAAGGGCACTGCTGTTCCCTTCTGAGCGTCTGCGGGTTTAGACCTCGTGGAAGGTCTCTGATCCACTTTGGGTTTACTGTTGTGTAAGGCGTGTGATTCTGCCCCTGGTGACGTAAGGGTCTGGAATCGTCGTTTTCACACGTGGATGGCCAGCGGTCCCAGCAGCATTTTGGGGGGGAACTATGATCCCTTTGGCCCCCCGTTCGGTTGCCTTGGCACCTTTGTCGAAACCTGAGTCGCTGTGTTTGGTGAACCCGCTTCCTGTCCCTCCCCGCTCTCGTCATGGTGGCGGGAAGCCTGGTAGAGTCGGACTCGACCCACCATTCCAAATGGTCAGATTTCCCGAAAGCTGGCGGCCGGAGACCAGCCGGGGCGGGTCGCAGTCCCGGACTGACCCGAGCGGCAGAGGGCCTGGCTGTGCCACCTGCCAGCTGTGTGATCCAGGTCCAGGTTCTTCATCACTCCCTGCCTCAGTTTCCCCACCTGTGAACCCAGGGTGATAGCGCCTCACCTCAGAGGTTACCCCAAAACAGTGCCCGGAGCGGCTGCACAGTCACCACGGCGGCTCCGTGGTTGAGCCGGGGTCCCCGGGGCCCCTGAGGGCCTCCCGGGTTCTGCTCCACGGCTCAGCCCGCTCCACACAGACCACGTGAGGGCCACAGGGCAGCTGAGGGGCGCCCCCTGTAGATGGCAGCCGTCCGGGGAGCCCCTCCTTAGCCCGCAGGCTGGCTGACCTCAGCGGCAGGGGCCGACACATGCTCTCGGGTGAACGCACCCCCTCCCCTGGGCGGGCCTGAGCCCACGTTCCTTCTTTCTGCCCGAGGGTCCTCCTCGAGAATTCCACGAGGAAAGAGTTGGGAGTCATGACAACAGAAGTAACTCCCGTCTAGTCTCCTCTCTGATTGGTTTGCATCGGATTCTAGTACCAAACGTGCACACACGCAGACTCACCTGCACGCACACGTGCACACACATGCCTCCCCCCGCACACGCCCCCCCACACACCTGCACAGGGCTCTCCAACTCCCTGCACACACATACACCCTGAGTAGCAAGCCCCTCCTCCTCCACTCCATTCTCCTTTTTTATTTTTTTTAAAGAATCTTTATTGATTTCAGAGAGGAAAGGAGAGAGAGAGAGAGAGAGAGAGAGAGAGAGAGAGAAACATCAATGATGAGAGAGAGTGTTGGATCAGCTGCCTCCTGCATGACCCCAATTGGGGATGGACAACCCGGACATGCGCCCCTGACCAGGAATTGAACCACGACCTCCTGGTTCATAGGTCAACGCTCAACCACTGAGCCACGCGGTCCGGGCCCCTCCCTCCATTATAGAATAACTCGCCCTCCCGAAGGG